GGGCTTCTCGGAGGCAGAGGGCAGCCCACATCCCTTGGTGTGGGGCTTGCTTCCGAGAAGGCCTGCCCTAGAACACTCTGGAGGAATCTGGAGACGGCTGTGTGCAGCATAGGCAGAAACACAGGCCCCCTCCCACCCACAGGGAGCAGAGATCTGGGCATGGGGCTTCAGAACTCAGGCCAAGCAGCTAATGGGGCTTCTGGAGGCTGTGAAACGTGGTGTCAGCCAGAGCGCTGAGCTGGCAGGCTCCAGACCAAAGCGGACCAGGACAAAGAGCCCGAAAGAGGGAGGGGGTGGAGGAACAGGCAGCTCTCCCCTCCACCCACCCCAGACCTTCTAGAACTTCCTCCCCACTCAGGACCAAGGCTCCATGCATCCGAAGACAGACAGCCCAGAGAACTTCTTCCGAGGTGTTATGGGCTGAATCCTTCCGCTCCCAAAATTTTATATGTTGAAATCCTAACCCCAGAACCTCAGAATGTGTTACTATTTGGAGACAGGGCCTTTAAAGAGGCAAGTAAATTTTAAAATATATAGGTGGGCCCTAATCCAGTGTGACTGGTGTCCTTTTAAGAGGTGATTAGGACACAGACACACCATGGGAAGACCAGTGAAGAGACAGGGAGAAGACAGCTGAATATAAGTCGAGGAGAGAGGCCTCAGGAGAAAGCAACAGTTCGACAGCTTGATCTCAAACTTCTGGCTTCCGGAACTGCGAGAAAATGAATGTCTATAGTTTAAGTGTTAAACACTCACTCTTTGTCACTTCATTGTGGTCACCTGATCTAACTAAAACACAAGGCCATTGGGTTCATCAGAGGGCACTGCTCTCAAAGTAAGGAGTTCCCGAGGTGGCAGGCAGCCCCTGTCCCTTAGTCACCTGTCTCAAGGCCTGGAAATGTCTGTGGTTAGAAAGTTCTTAATATTGCGCCTCCACTGATTCTTTCCCTTTCTTCACTTGCCCTCCTTCTGGCCCAAATGTAGGTAAGTCAAAATGGTCCCCAAGCACCCATGGTCACCCCATCCTCGGTCTTCCATGCTCACTCTCCCTTTTCCCTCTATTTCTGGTTCTATTTCCTGGGCCTCTCCAAAGTGAAATGGGCCACCCTGTGCAGTAGCAAGCTCCGATGTCACTTAAGGGTTTGAGATGTTGGGGAGCCATCTGACTTGGGGGGGGGTTGGATGCTGAATATGCCGAGCTCTAAGGCAGGTGGGAAGGGATGTGGAGTCAGTCCCTTAGATTCAAATATCAGCCCCACTTCTTTTCTCATGACCCCAGGCGACATCATCCATCTTGCCACACTTCAGTGTAGTTGCTGGTACAGCAGGAGCTAAGATCAAGCAAAGGTGGTTTCCATACATGGGGACTGCCTCCCCCTTTGGCAAGTCCCTTCCCCTCCCTAGCCTCAGTTTCCCCACTGTGGCAGGAGGACATTAGATGGGCTCTATGATTGGCCTGGGCGACCCCAGCCTGGAAGGTCAGCCTATAGAGAACAGAAGTCCCCAATGGATCTTCCTTCATTTTGCTGCTGAGATTAGTCAGGGATGTCCTGGCGAGTGGATGAATGCACTAAGCATCACAGTGCCACACACCCTAATCCGGAATTGGGAAGGGGGGGTGGGGATGAGGCAGCGCAGAAGGGGCCAAACACAGGATAGTCGTGCCACTGGGGGTTAAGTCAGGGTTACCTGAAGGGCTTCCCAGAGAAGCAGGAGCTCTGACCCCAGTGCTGGCAGCCCCTCACTACAGGGAGGGGGCAAGGTGGGGCCCAGGCCAGAGATGATTCCTGTTCCAAAGTGCCTGGCTCAGGGCCCCTCCTCAGCTCTGAGTCACCTGGGGGGCTCCAGAGCACCTGGCATGGCCTCTCATCCACTCCCTGGCCAGGCCTGAAATAGGAAAGGCAGGCTGCTTCCAGAAATGGCCTCATCTCACCTTGGACACACTACCCCGCACCTATTTTGAGAGGCCCCTCACCAGAGGCATTCCTGAGTGAGCAGCCCCTCACCCTCTGGCACCATGTCTGCCATGTGGCAAAACCAGAGCTGGCTCCCAAGGTTTTCTCCTTTAACCCTGTCTGCAGACCCTTGAGATGCTGCCACAGTCACCACTGATGTGCCAGAGAATCATGAGAAAACAGAGCAGGCAGCCCCTCTGCAACTGCTGATCTCCAAAAGTTGTTCACTGAATTCCCATTTTACAGAAGAGTAAACTGAGGCCCCAAGAGGATGGTATCTTGTCAAAGGATTTGAACCCCAGTAGTTTAACTCTGGAGGCCACATTCTTAACCTCTATACTAAACTGCCTCCCATGAAAATTGCTACAATAACCCAATGACGTGGATACTATTAGCGTCCCAAGTTTGTAAATGAGGAAACTAGGACACCGGAAGGCTATATAATCTGACCAAGGACATGCAGCCGCAGAGGAGAGAGCTGAGATTTGGACCCAGGCAGGCGGGCTCTAAAGCACACACGCTCACTCCCTGCACTGCAGCACCTCAGTGTCAGCTGGCCTCTCCTGGTCCAGGACCTCCCGGAGAACAGGCAGAGCTGCCCTGGGCACCACATCACCCCCTAGGCCACTCCCCCAGCCCTGGCAGTACTCCAGAGACTGGCCAGGCCCTCTCCCAAGCTCCAGCTTAAGCATCTTCTGAACAGCCCAGAATCTTGGGGGTTAAGTGCTCCTACCCCAGCTGGCACATGGGGAAACTGAAGCACAGGGACTTGTCCACAGCTAGGGAGACAGACACAGGCCTCCTGTTTCCCTCTCTTGACTGGAGTATTGGCCAGAAGAAAATGCTTTTACCTCTGGGCCCCAGAATCTTCTAGAGGCTTCCAGAAGTATACCCAAAGCAAGAGGGAATAATGCTCCTGCTCCCATACCAGGGCCAGTCACAGTTTGCTTTCCTGGCCCTATGGGGGTTACAGCCCCGCAGCAGCAGGGAGAACACAGTGGGACAGATGGGGTCTGCCCTGGGGACCACCCCAGCTGCACAGGTCCCCTCCCAGGCCAAGCCAGGGCAGAGGACATCGCAGCGGTGAGCTGCCTCCCCTGCCCACCCTTTAGGCATAGAGCCAATTCTCAGCCTCCAGACAGGAGCCCCTCTGTCCCTACAGGACAGCTGACCTTTAACTGGCCAAAAAGTCCCACTGGTTCCATTCCCTGCCTGGAGGAGTGGGTTGCAAGAGAGAAGAGGGCAGGCCAGGGGGTGGGAGAGGACTCCAGGCCTCCCCTCACCCTCTCCTTCCCCCTCCTCGCTGCCTCTCACTGTCCCCTCTGCCCCCTTCCTTCCCTCACAGCTGACTGTGTCCCAAGCCCTGACCTTCCACAGCCACTCTCTCTTCCTCCTCAATTATTTTCCCTTTTATTTGCCTGGCACTTTAGAGTTTACCAAATGTTTTTACATTTATCGTGGCATTGAATCCACACCGGGGAGAGATGGGGAGACATTGAAAATTCCTTCAAATTGCCAAGTGTTCTTGTTAAAAATGCAAACATCCCCAGAAGAACAACAATTAGGCTGGCAGCCACCGGTACCTCAGGACTAATTCTTTCAGCCTCTGCCTCCTCCTCAGCCACTTAGCACAAGTGTATGGGGTTGGGGTTGGGGGAGGAGGATGGAGTGCTTTTGGGGGGCTGTCTGGACAGGGTGGGGAGGGCTCTGGTGCGGTGTCTGCACCCCTGGGGGGAGGAAGGGCAGGGAACAGGGTAGGTATGAGGAGAAGCCTTCAACTTTGCAATGTTGCACAAAAACAACATGCTCTCACCGAGCCCTAAATTGTAGCCCAACCACTGCTCTCCTCCGGCATCGCTCATTCTGGAGTCTCCAAGGTCAGAGGGGGAATTTTTATGCAAGAAAAAACTTTAAAGACTTTCAGGGTGGAGTCCACAAATCCAGAACCTGGGAGAGGGAGGTGGGAGGCAGGGTGAGGGTGCCTGCTTCTCCCTAACCCAGCTCTGCCACGGGGACCAGGGTCCCCAGGATAGGGCAGCCCCACCCCAGAACCAGCACAGGCTGGAAGGAGAATCCCATACACTGGGCACTGGTGACCTTGAAAGGACACATCCCCAGTCATGGGGGTAAAGCAGGAGATCCTCCCTTCAAAGAAGTCTCAGTTACCCCAACTGAAAACTGATGGAGGGGTGGGCCGATGGTCCTGAGGGTCCTCCCAGCTCCCACATTCCAAGGTCCTGGGGTCAAATCACGGAAACAAGCTTGCGGCCAAACCCCAAGCAGGGCGTCTAGAGAGTTCCTGAGCTCCAGGCATGCTCACTTTTGGAGGCCCCGCCCCACATCCCATCACATATTCAAATGAACCATATAAATAAACAGAACCCACATATAGCTCTCAAGAGTTGAACTCTTGAGAGCTATATGTGGCAGTTGACCCCAAGTGGCAGCTGACCATCTGATATAATGTTAGGTTTCGTAGCTAAACATGTATTAATTTCAATTCTGTAGCTTTCTTTGCAAATTTTGGAGCTTCTCTGTTTGTTTCCAGCTCTCAAACATTTTCGTTGGCTGCCGATGAAAGCCTGCAGGCCCTTGATGCTGTGTCTACATTCCCAGTGCCCTGACCCCAGAGAACTCAGGCTGTGAGCCTACAGCAATGCAACAGTGGGTCTTAAAAGAAATCTAACAAATGCTGCGTAGGCATCCAGGGGGCACCTCAAGGTCCACTCAAGGCCACCTGCTCTAAGGAGCCCTCCCAGGCCACTCTAGCTAACAAGAATACCGCCCCTGCCAACCTCAGAGCATTCGCCATCCATGGGACTCATTTGGCACCAATGGCACACTTTCGGTGTGGCTGGCTGTGTTTTGTTAGCTCTGTCTTCATTATTTAACACTCATGTCTTATCTTCTCCCACTGAACAGTGAGCTCTCCAAGGTGCCTCAGACCTCTTCTCTGCCTCTCCTTTGAAACTGGTATGGTGTCACAGCCAAACAAGAGAGCCAAGGCCCTCTGTGCAGGGGCAGGAAGCCACTGGTCCCACCTACCCTCCATGCCATCATCGCGATGCCCATTGAAGTTGTCATAGGAATCCCAACGGATGAGGGGGTCAGAGGTATTGTAGTCCACTGACACGCTTGGCCCGTTCTCCAGGTGTTCCATGCCTAAAAGAATGGGAAAGGATGGGAGGACAGTGGGAGAAAGAAAAAAGAGATCAGCAGCTGGAAAAACAGAGGAAGCCAACAAGATCCCCCAAGGATGCTCCCTAAGGGACTTCTCATTTTCTTGACCCTGGAGGGGCGGGACCAGTGGCTTCAGTTGGACAGAGAACCCAGGGGTCTGGTTTCTTGCATTCTTGAAGAGGCTCATACCAGGTCATAGGGATAAATCAGGACAGGGCACTGAGCAATAAAGACCCCTGCCCCAAGAGAAAGCTGGGGTCCCTCTGGCTGAGTTCTGCCTCTTTCTTTTCTGTGTCCTGGAAGCAGGGCAGAGAGACCAGAGGGTGCCCCTGAAGTCAGGGGGGTGTGGGAGAAGCAGGGCTCATAGCCTTGACATTGAGAGGATGCAAGGTCATCCAGGCCATCTCCCCTGCCCCGTACTTAAGATGCTCTCTACTCCAGGTAGAAATCTGAGGGCAGAGGCAGAATTGCTCCTACACATCCAGAGAGAGCCCAGGATGAAGACAGCACAAGCTGCAAGTCAGACATTATGGGGTGCGTCGCCTCCCTGACCTGGCAGTCCTTTCTTTAATCCATCCAGAGTCCTTCTGTCTGTAATCTAACTTCATGTCCTCCCATTCTGTCCACAAATAAGATGGAGAACAACTGGTCTCCACATATAACCAGTCTAAAGGCTTAAAGGCTATTATTAAGTTGGTCTTCTCATCTTCAGGTTGAACCACCTCAGTTTTCAGAAATACTTATCGGTTACCCAGCACCTTTGAGTGTCCCCTCAGCCACTCCCTCCATCTTCCATGGCCCTCAGTCTCTAAATATAATAGCATGATGACCTAATAGGACTAGAACAGTTTATCCAACCCAGCGCCTCTCTGTCTGCTTTTTTATTTTTATTATCCAGAGATTAAGTCACTGGTTCATGTTTAGCTGGGGGTCCACTATGATACCCAGATCTTTTACTGTTGGCCTGCCTTTCAATCACAGGTAACTTGACAGTTATAGAGCAGACCAGTGATAGAATGGTGAAGGAGGGGTGGGGACAGGCCAGGATAGAGGGAAGGGAGGGAATGATGAATGGATTCTAACTTGACTTATACCTTGAATTTTCTCTGGTCCATAAGAAAATACAAATTCCACCTTTCCATATTCTGGAAATCGATCATCTGAAAAAAAGGAAGGAAAAACAAAATGGGCAATTAATTTCTAAAAAGGACTCCATAAAAGATTTTCTTCTAGAATAAAGTAACACACACACATTGATAATATATTTATATATATATATGAAATATATATAGATATGAAATTAAGTCTCTTGTCCTCCCTAGCCCCAGTCCTACATAGCTGAGGTAACCATTTCGATTTCTTTTTCTACTAGTGGTTACCTCTAAGCCTCTAAATAACAGCCACAGTTTTTATGACACTATTTCTAGATACATCAGTTTTAAATAATCCCCGTTGATTCATCACTATGAAGATGAATAATTTGGCTCACTTATACTACTCCCACCTCCCCTCTTCTAAAATCTGGTATTGTTGCCCGGCCAGGAGTGGCTCAGCTGTTGAGCATCGACCTAGGATCCAGGAGATCGTGGTTTGATTCCCAGTCAGGGCCCATGGCTGGACTGCTGGCTCGATCCCCAGTTGGGGGCGTGCAGGAGGCAACTGATAATGACTCTCATCACTGATGCTTCTATCTCTCTCCCTCTCCCATCTTCTCTCTGAAATCAATAAAGAGATAGTTTTTAAAAAATAAAATCTGGCATTATCATCATCATTTATTCTGATTACCTTTGAAACTTTAAATACTATAGTTAAGCCTCTATTTCTTGATCTGTCCATTTTTTTTTCAAATCTTTTTTTCTTAATATATCTTTATGGATTTCAGAGAGAGAGAAAGAGAGAGAGAGAGAGATGATCAATGATGAGAGAGTCGTCATTAATCGGCTGCCTCCTGCACACCCCCGACTGGGGATCGAGCCCGCAACCCAGGCATGTGCCCTGACCCGAAATCGAACTGAGATCTCCTGGATCCTAGGCTGACGCTCAACCGCTGAGCCACGCCCAGCCGGGCTCTGTCCATTTTTTGATGGTGTCCTGACTCCCGCTATACTAGAGGAGTTTGTGCCCTCCCTTTCTTCCACCTCTCACCAACCCTACCTTTACTGTGTCAACTATTCCTTTATTTTTCCTTGTTAATATTGATAACATTCACTCTGTTCTGTAATTATAACAGCCTCTTCTGTCTTTACCCTCCTGGCTCCAATGCAGGGAAAGCACATCACAGGACACATCCTTCTCCTGTACAAGCCACACTACATGGGGGGGGCCCTCCTCCTCCAAGTCCCAGCCCCATTCCCTGCTCTCCACCTGAGCCCAATCTGGACACAGATCATCATACACTGCTTACAGCACGTGAAGTTACGTCAGGGATGGTGTCCACTCCCTAGGGGACCCATCATGCCTGTGCATGTCTGTCACTGCAGGTGTCTGTCACTTCACAGTATCATGTTTGTGTGTCCCGTTCTCCCACAAGACTGAGCTCCCTGGGGTTATGGACTCATCTCTTTCTCATTGTATCCTCAAGGTCTAGCACACGCCTGGCCCATATAGACACACAAGTGACATTTGGTGGATAGATGAACGGATGGATGGATTTGGATAGGTAAGTAGATGGATAGATAGATTTGGATGGGTGGGTAGATAGGTGGATAGATGGATGGATGGATGGATGGATGGATGGATGGATGGATGGATGGATGGATGGGTGTGGATGAATGAGTAGATAGATGGGTATATGAAGAACTTTAGATGGGTGAATGGGTAGGTGGGTAGATGGAAGGAAAGATGAATGGATGAATGGATAGATGGGTGTGGATATGTCTCAGTCCTGAGTGTGATATAGATGAAACTTAAAAAGGACAGTGAAAAGAAGCAAAGGGAGACCCTCCCTGACCACCTCCACTTCCCTCAGAAAATGGTTGTCCCTTCCCTGCTGCCATGCTCCCCGCCCCCTGCATAATTGCTCTTCTACCCTATGATAGAATTATCCCTTGCTAAGTCTACCTCTCTACCTAATGGGCCCACCTTTGAAGGCATCATCAAGGTCCTCCTTCCCAAAGACAACCCCCAGGTCATGGATGGCACAGGTATGGAACTGCACACGGAAGATGACATCTCGGGCTGGGCTCCGGAACTTCTTGTGGTAGCACTTCAGCTGGATGAGAGAGAGAGCAGAGCCCATCAGGGGCCCAAGGCTGGGAAACTGGGTCCCAGGGGAGCTTCTTTACCAGCTCCAAGACTGGGCCCCCGAGGTTCACCCCAAACCCAGTGAAGGAGGTGTCACCAACACCAAACAGAATCTTAAGAGATCTCTGGGGAAACTTCTAGAAGACCAGAGAGTTAGAAGCCAGTCTTATCCCATGGGACAAAAATGCCTCTCAAGAATTTCCTGCATACAGATTGGAATGGAAAAAGTATGGGTGGATTTAAAAAGGGCTGAAGTTAGAATTGAGCGAGTCCTAGTCACCAACAAGAAGCCAGGAGGTAACAGCTCCCACTGAGAGGCATTTTCCTGGAGCTGTTTCAGAACAAGAGGTAAGCCTAGTAGAAGGGATGTCCAATTCCAAGGCAGGAGAACGAACAAGGGTTGTGGGAGGCTGGAAGGCCTGCAGGAGCCCTGAGAGCCTACAACCCCAAGGCTGGTGGAGGAGAGCAAGAAGAGAGACAGAGAGACAATAAACAGGGAGGGGCTAGAGACAGAGGGGAGTCGCTCACCAAGATGTCTCCCTTCAAAAGCAGCCCAGGCTCGATGGTGATGCAGATGCTGGTCTGGCTGTCTCCTTGGACATTGCTGGGGGGGGCGAGGGGGGCAGAGAGAAAGAAGGACCACTGGGGGGGCAGTGCATTTTCTCCCTGCTGCCCCTCTGCCACCAGGCTAGTGGGAAACCTTGCTGACTTCATCCCTTAGCCCTCTCCTAGAAGAGATTCAAGGCAACACACACACACACACACACACACCCTGCTCCTGGTCCTCAGCCTCGGAGCTCTGGCGTCCGGACTCCCGTTCCCATGGAATACTTACTAGATGCCAGACGTGTAAACAGGTTGCATGGCCTGGTAGATCCGGAGAAATGGGCGACACCCTGTAAGGAAGGGTGGTTTAGCTATGACAGCAGCAGCAGTGGAAGGGGGAAGAGGGAGAGAAGAGAGTGAATGAAGTGGAGGAAAAAGGAAGGAAAAGGGGAGGGCAGGGAAAGAGGAAAAGAGGGAGAAATAGAAAGAGAAAGGGGAAGAAACACTAGCTTTTCATTTGAAAGGCATTTTAAGTTTACAAAAACATTGCCCCATCCATCATCTGCCAGCAGGCATTGCAAGTATCAAACCCATTTTGCAAATGAGTAGAGTGGGGCTAAAGGAAGCTCAGGAAGCGGTGCCCTTGAGATCCCAATCCAAGCATATATTTTTACCACCTATGGCTGCCTCTTCAGAGAAGGAGAAGGAAGACAGGAGGGGGTGGGGAGCCAGAGGGCTGGGACCAGTACCTCCTTTAGACTCGAAGTTGGGGATGCCGTGCATGATCACATGGTGCAGAAACAAGGGCTTGTTGTTCATTTTGATGGTGCCAGAAAGCAGGCCGCTGAAGTAGTGCACATACCTGGAGCAGGACAGGGGCAGCTTCAGCCAAGGAGGTCTGAACCGGAGCAAAGCCATCCCATGTTCTCTTTCCCACCATAACGCTGCCTTAGGTTGCCCTGCCTAGCCCCCTGCCAATACCCCAGGCCTCCAAGTGGCTGGGTCCTGAGCCCTGCACAGTCCTCCTTTGCTGCCTGGAGCCGCAGGTAGGGAGAGCAAGTAGGTACTCCTAGACCTGGAGCCAGGTCAAGCAAACCCTAGATTTGGGGTTCTCTAGCGCCCCCTGGTGGTCAATGTGAGCATCTCTTTCCTGCTTCACTCCCAGCACAGGAATCTCCTGTTGGACCAAAACTCCTCCCACACATCCCTGACAGGCACCCTTCAACTGCTCACTACTGCACAAGGCAGACTGATCCACTATCAAATAGCTCTGACACCCTTATACCAAGCCCAAATCAAGCTGACATTTATACGCACAGGCTTTCGGTCAGCTCTGCACAGCCCCACCAGCCACATGACACTCCAGCAAATATTAAAAGCATAATAATTATAGTCTTTCAGTTTTTTATATCATGCTGAAGTGTATGAAAGTCTTTCCAGAGCATTTTATTTGGTGTTGTAAAATACCTAACTTCCACTAAGTATTTCTATCTCTGGGGTCAACATCTCCCAGGTGTTTTTTTAACAAAGCTCTTGTTGGAAGAATGGAAGGATTAATCTATTCCCACTCCTAAACAGAAAGGAGAAACTAGGTTCAGAAAGGGTCGTTAGCCTCCCAAAAACACACAGCACACGGACACAAAGCTGAGAGCGAATGGGAGAGAGGAAGGAAGTCTGACTCCAATGCATCTGCCAGAACAGAAGCCAATCCTTCTGCCATTGGCCGGTGCTTCCCCCTTTTCTGACTGGCCAGAGGACACCGAGTTGGGTCAGCCTAACCAATCAGAATGCATCTGAGCTCCGAGGGAGTCAGCGTGGGCTTTTGAGGTGGGTGAGACCAGAACTCGCATGACTATGATAATAGTCTCCTCCTATATCTTGACTCCTTGGCCCCCCTCCAAGCCTGTGGGCCTCTGTCCCTGGGCTGGGGTGGGGCCACCTTGGACAACCCAAGCAAGATAATCTGATGGGCAGCGCCAGCTCCTATTCAGGCCCCTGCCCAGCCCCCAGCCCCATTACTCAAACCGGAAACCTGGAATAGCGGGTTCCTATCAGAACTTCTGATCATGCCAACAGGATGTGTCTGTGTGCTGGGGACAATGAGTCCGGGGGTGGGGTGACAATGAATGGGGGAGCTGCAGGCCAAGCCCCTCCTCCCTCTCTCCCTGCCCTCTTCTCCTCCAACAGCCTCATGCCTTACCACTGACACTGCCAAGAAGGCGGGAAAGTGGCAATGAATGCATGGTAAATCCAACAGTTGCACTTTCACATTTGGGCACAAACGGAATTACCCACCCATAAGCAGATGTAGGTGCAGATATGAGCTGCAAGGCAGACGAGATAATGTACACACACACACACCGAGCACTGCGGAGTCCCTGCATAACCATATTCCTGAGAGGTAGCACTGATTCCCCACTCTCCAGGTTTTCAGCTTCAGAGATATGACTACTCTGCCTGCTCTCTCCAAGCCACGTTGTGCCATTGTAACATCACGCTCCTCTGTCTGTATCCCTTATCCAGGAGCAGGTACTTGACCAATATTCTTCTCTCCCTAAGATTTCTTCCCTGGGAACATTCTCATTGATCCACAGCTGCTGTGTCTGGCAGCCTAGCCAGAATTTTCTGCACATAGAGACATCCGGTTTCTAATCCAGCTGACCTGAGGCTGGCTACCAGCCGTCCTGTGCCAACAGTATGACACTGGGTTGCCTGAGGACTCACTCACTTTTGCTAGGGCTTCCTGCTACAATGGTAGAAACAGTCCCCAGCAGTGCCAGCACACTTCTAGAAAGACAAGGTAAGAGTGACATGAGCTGGGGACACTCCAGCATGGAGTGTCTGGGAAGCTCCAGGACATGCAGCAAGGGGGTCCTGCCTGCCAAGTGTTTGGAAGGGCTAGAAAAGTCAATGGGACACTGTGGCCTCCAGGCCTGTGTACTTGCTGTCCCCTTTGCCTAGACCTTCTACCCCAGACCTGCACTCAGATGCTTCCTTCTACCTTTCTGACCTCACCTCACACATCATCTTCTCAGAATGGTCTGGCCCTTTGAATCAGCCCCTAATGCCCACTCCCATCACTCTCTCGTGGTCCATCATTTTCTGTTTGGGTTTACTCCCTTCAAAGCTCTTCTCACTAATGACCTTGATGGCTAATTCCCATGGGTGTAATCCACCAGAAGGTAAGCCCCAAGAGACCTTGCCTGAGAGATTCAGCACCATAGCCCCAGTGGGTAGCCCAATATGACCCATCACGGTCAGGTGTGATGGGCCCATAGCTCCAGTGACACAGGGGACAGGGCCTGAGTCCAACTTTCCAGTTCTCCACTCTGGGCCTGGGTGTCCACCATTCTGGCTCCCACTCACCTGCAAACTCCCAAGGCCCACCTGGTCCTGACACTACCTGTGCCTTCCTGTGGATCAGACATCACTAAGCTGCATGGTACCCACAAAGTTGAATGCAGTGGTAACCCTCAGGATGGTGGATGGCACAACCAGGGGGTAGCTCCCTGAGTACATCCTGGCTCTGCCACTACTCTCTGTGGACCCTGGCCATGGCATACCCCTTCCCTCTGGGCTCAGGCTTCTCTCCTGTAAAATGGGGATGCCCTGGATCATCATGTGGTAGCTCATCATTATTCAGCTTTGGGCTAAAATTCACCTCCTCCGAGAGGTATTCCCTGACCATGACCATTAAAATAGCCCCATTCCCCTCCCGTCAGCTCTCATCGCAGCAGAATTCTACCCTCTTTCCTTCTTAGGACTAATCATTATCAAACTGTCTTGTTTGTATATTTACTTGTGTAATGTCCACCCTTCTCAACAGACTATCAGCTCACTAGGGACAAAGGCCTTTGTCCTGTTCAACTAGAAATCTCTAGCACTTTGAACATAGCACACTGCCTAAAATTTGCCAAATGAATGACTGAGTCCCTCCTTCCTGCCGTGGCTGTTGAGGGCTCTAATGAGACCACATAAAAGGTGACTGTTATTGTGAGTGTGTGTGACCTCCCCAGGGCAGGCAGCAGGGACCTCAGCCTCCTGCAGACTCATCCAAACACTGAAGCAACCCTGTTCCCAGGACCAAGAATGGCACTGCCTTCTCATACAATACACCTTCTTATACCCCAACCAGTGTGTCCCCACCGATACCCTCTCTGCTCTCCAGCCTCAGGAGCCAACTTCCCTGCCCACCTGAGGGCACAAATAGCTGCTCATGGGCTCACCCAAGTCCCTGAGCTCAAACCCCTTCAGGCTGGTCCCTGAACATGCATGTTTAGTATACTCCTACCTAGGCATGCTGTTCCATCCCCCATGGGTACATGAGGCTAGTCCCCACGTACAGTGAGCACACACATGTGAACATTGGGCTGCAAGACCCACCTTCTCTGGGATGGCTGGCCAATGGGCACAATCTTATCCTCATAGAAACGCTTCATTGCAAACCGGTCCAGTGCCTGGTCAGCGCTGGGGGGAAAAACAGGTGGTCAGATGAACCAACATCCAAGTCCAAGAGCCCCTTCAGCCCCCTCCTCAGCTCCCCAGGCCTGCAGGGTCCTCCAGCCACCCTGTGCTGAAACACTTTCGGGAAAAGAGAGCCTCAGCATCTCTCCATCCCCTGTGTTGCAAGGGGCTTTGGAGCCAGACAACTAGGAACCCATCTCTAGTCCACCCTTTAATTACTACCCCTGTACCTTGGAGCAGGTTATTTAATCTTTCTGAACCTCTTTTTTTTTCCTCTCTCATGTCAAATGAGAGTGATAGTTGCCTTCCTCAAAGTTTGTTATGGCAATCAAGTGGGCTGACATCTCTAAAGAGCTTGGCACATAGTAGGTGCACAGCAAGCACTCACCATTAAGCAAAGACTAGGCTAAGGTGGATTTCTTAAAGTTGCAAAATTGCCATCCTACTGGCAAGCCCTCCACAGAACACTCTACCCTTCCTCGGAGGGCTTTCAGAGAGATCATTTTAAATGTAGTGACTGGTCACATAGCTTACCTTGTCTTGACTTTCCCAACAACTTCCCATCACTCTTAAAATAAACCCCAAGTCCTTATCAAGTCCTACGAGGCTCTCAGGTTCTGCCCCCTTCCACTTTCACTTCCTACTCCTCATGCCCTCACTCACTCAGCTCAAAACACGCCAGCCCCTCATGTGGCATTCCCACCACAGGCCTTGGTCCTTCCTCTCCTCTCTGCCCAGACTTTACATGGCTCAGCCAGTCCCACCCTCCTCTGCCTATTTTCGGTCTCTGCTCAAATATCACCTCCTCCAGAGGCCTCCTCTGACCACTGTCCTGCTCTGGTATCCTTTCTTTCACAGAACTTATCACCTGCTATTACTGATATACTTGCTTATTTACTTAGTGTCCATGGGGACAGTGGCCTGGCTTTGCCCACTGCTGTATCCCCAGCACCTAGAACACCTCCATGGCTGTTCAATACCCACTGCTGAGTGGATAAACAGATTAATGGGTGGATTTCTCTGCCTCTCTGCAAAATGGAATCAAAACGGGGCATGGCTTGTTTACTAGCCTTGCTCCAAAACACCTAAGTGGGAAAGGGCCCTGCTGGCCAGAGACAGGGGGATGGATGAGATAACTTCTAGTTGGTTCTGCTGGACCCAGATCTGATCCAGCATTTCTTTCTGACCCCCAGTCTGCTCAGCCAGGGGAACAGAAGACAGTTTGGCAAGAAAAAGAGGCCCCAAGAATCTGGCTAGGTGGGGTGTCCATGGATGGGCCTGCCTCCCAAAGCTGCCCCAGCCAGGCCTGCAAAGGCGGGATGGACTCCTTTCTCCTGCTCTCCAGCCGTGGGCTCCTGCCCCTGAGATGTTGATAGGCACTTTCCTTCCTCGTCCTGAGCACCTCTCACCCCTCAGTCTTTACCCTCCCGCCCCAAGGAAGGGAGAGGTCATGGCTGGGTTGGGGGAGGCAGTTTCTGCTGTCAACATCCAGAGAATGGGAGGCTCAGGGGTCCTCTTACCTGGCCGAGATGTTGCTGTAGTGCATGTAAGCGGCGATGACAACTCCTATCCTGCCTCGGTTTCCCTGAAAGAGCCCCCAAACACAAAAGCCTTTATTTCTCAAGCTGGCCTACTGGTCCAGGGTCCATCCAGAAGCCTTGGAGGGAAGGGGACAGGGGTTGGAGAGAAGGGTGTGGTTCTGAGGGAGAATGGGAGGAGGGAGGGGATACAGCAGAAGGAAGGGGGGGGCTGAGTCTCAAAGAGGAGAAACACAGTTGATCAGCCCCTACACTTGAGGGACACACAAGCTGGAACCCCACACTTCTTGTGGGTGCCCCTGGGACACAACCTGCCATCCCTAGAATACACACAGACTCACACACTCACACAATCCAATGATACAGGCAAGTGTATACTCTCATCCAAGGATACATTCATGCGTGGGGGCACACACACACACACACACACACACACACACACCCGGCAGCCCACTCTGACCTTGTTGTGGAGAACAACGACATTGTGGGGGTCTGCGTTGAGCCAAGTGTCCATAGCCTTGCAGACACTGCAGATCTTCTCCAGGGCTGGGGTGTGGAGGTCGGGCCAGCCAAATTCCAGTACCTGCGGCCCAAGCCAAGAGTGAGAAGTGGCAGAAGCCCAGACAGTCAACCAGGGCAGTGGGGCAGCACACACCTCAATGCCAGTAGCGGAGCAGTGGCCACCAGCAGCTGGGCCTTGGTTCCTGCCCTGCCCATCAGCCCAGTGGGGACATGGGGATGTGGAGGCAAAGGACAATGGTCAGGGCCAGGGACCTGTGCCTAAGTCTCAGCTTTGACTGGCTCACTGTGGGGCTTCTGGCCAGTCAAGGCCCTTCTTCTAGCCTCAATTTCTCATATGTGCATAAAGCAAAGGCTTGGAGATGATGACCCCAAGGTCCCTTCCATGTGACTCTGACCTCAAAATGTGATGGGGCTCCCAGCACTACCCCCCAAGTTCTACTCCCACAGAGAACTCCAAGGCCTGGCTCAGGGCAAAAGAGGGCAGAGCAAAGGGCTCCTGTCTATTCATGGCTTTTATGCAGGCCCTGGCTACACACAACATTGGTTTTTCAGGCCAACCCAGAGAAGCGGAAGGGGAAAGAGGGCAGATCTGAATAGCAAAGTACACCTAACCTGGCCCATCCACTTTCAGAGGTGCAAACTGAGGCCCAGAGAAGTGCGTCACCTCCCCACGGTCACACAGCAACAGGCGCCACAGTGCAGGAGCCAGGAGCAGGGACTGTGCAGAGCCCGCCACACAGCCCACCAGGCAAGCAAAGAAAGCTGGCAGGTAGGAAGGTCTACATCGGCCACTCCCAGCCAGTTTAAATCCAAAATACCTTTCAATGAAACTAAAAATCTCACAGCTCCAGCCTCACTCAAAGATCCTAAGGGCTCCCAGGGGAGGCAGACCTGGGTAGGAATCACTATCAGGCTTTGCTTTCTGTAATTTATATTATGGAAACAATGAATAGATTCTTTCCCATTTCCAAACAGAAGATGACACCATAATAGGCTTTGCAAACTGTCAGCACTTTCCCCCAAGACTCTGATGTGGGGCCCACAGGGAGAGGGAGCCTGTCTGTTGTCTCCCTCTCCCAGGCGAGTAGAAACCCTCACCCCAACTCAACAGGAGCTCACCTTGGCATGGAGCTTTGTGATGTCAGGTCTCCGCTCAGAGAGGTTGAAAAGCTAGAAAGAAGAAAAGAGAGATCATGAAAAGGCTCACACGCTGCTCTCACCCCTGCTGAAAATTCTACCCACACATGAGCATACATGGGATGCCATCAGACACATGCACTGGCCAACAGGAACTCAACTATAGATTCTCAGGATGAAGAGGGGGAAAGAGAGAAGTATAGATGCTCAGCCATTCCCCTCAGTGAGCAGATGTCCAGAACTATAGATGAGAAGGGAATGGAGCCTGTCTCGAGTCCCATGGACCACCCCATGGTGGGCATCTCCACACACTGAATGGAACCTGGTGATGTTAAATGTTCTGTGTTTGGCCTTCTCTGGTTTCTGTTCCACAGCTGGATGTTAGACCCTCACCCCATGAAGATGCAATGGCTCTGTGGTCGGACACTCTCCATCAGAAGATGCAAACTGTCCTGGCTGGACCCTCTCAGACCCTCGACACTCCTCTCCCAGCAGATGCTCTCTGACACCTAGGAGAGTCCCCCAATCTCTGTAATTCCTATCTCCACCTCCACTGCACTGCCTGGGAAACTCAAATACCACTGCATTGTCTCCTGGGGAGAAAAGAGGACCCCACGGTCTGGAATAGGCAGGATGGAAGGAGGGTGGCAAAGCACAGAGACCCATAAAATCCTAGAGTCCGAAGTCGAGAAGAACCTTAGATGGCTTCTAGTCCACTCTTGAGCCCCATAATGGAGCACACTTGATTATATTAACAGCTGTCACTTGAATATCCACAACCTGTCATCCCATGCTAGGAACTTTACATCTGCCAGCTGGCTTCATTCTCTCAACAACCATAAGAGGTGGGGATAGAATTATTAGACCCAATTTACAGATGAGGAACTTAAAACTTAGTGAGGCTAAGGGGCCAAGATCAGCTTCTTAATAAGAGCAGAGCCCATATTCAAACCCAGAACTTTCTGATCTTTAAAACCAGGCTCTTAACAATGCCCAACACAGCTGATGGATGGGTGTCTGTAGTGGGTTGCATAGTGTCCCACAAAAATGCACATCCACCCGGAACTTCAGAATGTGACCTTATTTGGAAGTAGGGCCATTTTGCTGATGTAAGTAGTTAAGGATCTGGAGATGAGATCATCCTGGATTTAGGGTGGGCCCTAAATCCAATGGCTGGTGTCCTTATAAGAAGAGGAATGGACACACAGGGAGTCATAGGAAAGAAGGAAGGCCTGTGATCACAGGGGCAGAGATCGGAGCTATGAAGGAATAAGCCAAGGGTCACCATGGATGCTGGAGGAACCAGCAGCCAGGAAGAGGCAAGGCAGGCTGCTACTCTGCAAGATTCAGAGGGAACACAGCCCTGCCAATACCTGGATTTGGACTTCTAGTCTCCAGAACTGTGATAAATTAAATTCCATTGTTTTAAGCCACCTGGTTTGTGGTAATTTGTTACAGCAGCCCCAGGGACCTAATACAGCCTCTTACAGCCGCCTCTGTTTGAACAACCAAGGGCAGCCCCATGTACCTCCTTGTAAGGTGGATCTGAGCCCTCCTCTAGAGCCAGGATAGGCCCATCCCCACCCCAGGTCGGCCTTTCCAAAATCAGAGGAGAACACTGGGGGCCATTTTACCCACATTTGTTAGGTGATTCTCCTGGGCCAGGTACAATGCCAGTGTCAACAACACAAGGTCCCTTACAATGCCCTGTGCCACAGCTCTGCCCTAAGACTTCTCAGAGGTGCCAACAGTGTGCCAGCTCTGCCACATCCTGATACTGTGAACCTAAGTAGATTCCCCACCTCTAAGCTCTAACAAAACCTGCTTCCTAGGGTTGTCTTAAAGGTAAAATACGCGGAGAGCTGCTGAACAGGGCCTGGCTTGTAGTAAGCGCTCAATAACATGAGCTTATATTGTTATTCTCTTCTCCTGGTCAACACACACGCACGCACACACACACACGGGCACACATACACATGGGCAAACACATATACATGTGTGCACGTGCACATGTGGGCACAAACATATACATGCACACAACGCATGTGCACACACACAACTGGGTTCCAGATGCTGCATTGCAGCTGCAGACATTCATTACAGCAGAGTTGGGCAGGAGAGGGAGTGAAGATTCCGGCCACAAGAGACGCTCAGGGCCAAGGGCAGGTGAATGAAGAGACAAGGAAGAGCTGGCCCACGGCTGGGAGGCAGGCGAGAGGCGGCAAGCAGGGAGGGCGGAGGGGCGCTGGGCAAGCAGGTGAGAAGCCCATCCTCACCAGGTAGTTGCCTCCATGTTTGGACTTGAGCATCTGGGCCACCTCACGAAGGTTGCTCCGGAAGTTGTCCTCGTTGGCTGTGCTGGGGAAGGAGACGGCGATGATCCTCTCTGTGACATACACCAGGTCCAGCTCACAACTGTCCTCCATGGTTTGGCTCACACTCATGTTTCTGGGAAGACTAGCAGAGTGGGGTTCTAGGTCAGAATCTAGCCCCCCAGGGCAAGGAACAGATATCTGCACCCCCTACACACTGTGCATGGCCCCCATATCCATCCCAGGGGCTTGGCTGCTCCCTGACGCAGACCCAACGTCAGAGGCTTCCCCTGGCAAGGCCAGTGCAGCCAGCCTGGGGCGCCGGAGAGAAGAGAGCTAGGCAGGGGCTGGCAAGGATATTAGGCCATGTCAGAACCAAACATTGATGACATCAATCCTAGGTTCCCATCGATTCTGTCAGCACCGCCTTCACCCTTGATACCAGAAGTCAGAGCCAGGGCCAGAACTGGCCAGGAACCCTGGAGTCCAGCTCTGCCTCTGGACACACTGCAGCCACCTGTCCTGGCAGAAGTGTCTCGAAGGATCCTGGGACAGCTCTGGAAGAGGAAAGAGGCTGAGCTGGGTGCTCTCCAGCATCCCTGGGCTGAGCCTTTTAAAGTCCTCCCCTGGCTCCAGAGCTGTGGGTGGGCAGAGAGGCCTCTCAGGGGAAGGGGCAGCTCAGGTGACATGCTCACCTGGGCTCCAGGTAAGCCAGACCACAGCACACATTCCAGCCCTCCCTGGAGGCAGGTCAACTCCTACCCTTTGTTCCCTGGCTCTCTCCCCACCTCTGGCAGCTCCCACCACTGCCAGCACTTTGTGGCAGTGGCCTCCCTGATTGCTAAGGGCCCAGGAAACAGAGGGCACAGAGCCTTTGCTGCTGCTACAGTGGCGGGTGGCCCCTGGTGGCAGGTGGCATCCCAACACCATCTGAGTTCCTTGGAGAAGTAGAGAGCCCCCTGAGCTGGGTGCTGGATGAGGGGAGATAGGGGCTCACATCTTGACACCTCACCCAGCTTCTCTTCCAGGGGGAGAGTCCAAAGGCCCTCATGGAAGGGGAAATGGATCGTGAGATACTGGAATTTGATTCTGAAGTGACCTGTTGCTTCTGAGGGCACCTTACATGCTCCCCACCCCCACACCTTCTTACCCCAACACCAGCCTCCAAGTATCCGGTTTCCCTCCTCTAACCAAGGTGGTCAACACTCACATTTCATTTTGATAACCTTTCACTACAGCAGGGTAGAGTTGAGACTGGAAGGGAGGCAGGAGGAATACCACTAGGCTATTTCAAAGTGATGGAGTGGCACTGGGGAGGACAGCCAAGAAGCAGGGCAGAATCCTGGGCTCTACCAGGGTTAACTCTGAGCCCAACTCTGTAGATGGGATTTGGAGATGGCAAAGCCAGGGGTCATGTGAGGCTTCTCCATGGTGGCAATGACAGGGTCCAAGTGGTAGAAGGGCCAGTGGGCTGCAGTAAGGAGCACAATGTGAATTTGAGCTCTGAGCCCAGGCAATTCCTCATCCCAAAGATAAGCTTCTTGCTGCAGCCTTGGGAAGTTGGGCTCCTACCTCAGGGCACTGCCTACCCCAGGCAAAAACAGTGCGACCACCTGACAACTCAGCACAGCACCCTGCACCCACCCACCCCATGGTGGTTCTCAGCTGTGGGGAGGAGGGGAGAGGATCTTCTAAAGGGTAGATCAAGTCTGTGGGCAGTGGGTAGCTGGGCCACAACCTGCTGGGGGCTTCAGCCACACATAAGGCCCTCTTTCTCTGAGGCCCCATCTTCCTGGGGCCAGATTCTCACTCATCTCTGGAGTCTCAGGGTGAAGGTGAGGCAGAGAGGGGAAGGCCACAAGCCAGACAACCAGAGAACCTGGGCACAGGGAAAGGAGGCTCTGTGTCAGCAAGGCGCCAAGTGCCCTGTGTGTGACCTTTAACAAGTCACCTCATCTCTCTGAAGCTCAGTTTCTTCATCTGCCAAATGGGAATAAAATGCTTATCTTGCAGGGTTGTTGCAAGGCCTAGATGAGGTCATGCAAGTAGATAAAGAATTCAGCTCAAGGCTGGCTTCCAGCTAGAACTAAGAGCATGACCCTTTCCAAGTGGCATCTACCTGCACCCTCCAGCTGAGGCTCTCACATCTGCCCATGCTCCCTACCACTGGCTTTATGACTTCGGTCTCGGAGACCCAAAGGCATGACTTGCGGGGAACACCCACAGTGACCTCACTGCCAGCACCCTTACCCTGTGCCCCCCACAGGCCAAGCATACCTGACAGGCTGGGGATGGGGCTGGACACTCGGGGTGACTCTGGTAGAGCCCTGGAAAAGAGAAAAGAGAAGCAGCATTATGGAGGAGGCAGGTTGAGAGCTGTCCAAGGGCGCAGTCAGGGTCACGGGCAAACACAGATCCTCTTCTCGTTTCTCTGCCAACATTCCAGCCCAGGCACCCTAACACCCCAGAAACAAAGCAACTCAAAGCCAAAAGCAATCGCTGCCAATTCTGCATGAGTGTTCCTGAGTGTGTGTGAGCCCCCAAAGAGGCAGGCTTTCCTCCCCCCAGCAAGGAAGAAATCCCAAATGCTGAGAAACGAATCGTGCCCAGGCTGGTGCTATCTGTACTGAGTACACACTCAATAAAACAGTTACAGACTTGATGGAAACTCATTTCATCTCGATTCACTGGCCAAGGGGGGAACAGAGACTGCAAACATAAAAGAAGGAAAGGTGAGGGATGACACCCTTCTCTCCAGCTCTAAACCTTTCTCCTCCAGCCTTCATCACCCCACGCTCCTCTTCTTCAAAGCAGCAACGCCAAGTCATTCAATCAAAAGTTTAGGACAAGAGCAGCCAGGCATGTCGTGTACCCACTGAAAGCAGATCAGGCAGCAGATCGTGCTCCTAAGGACCCACCGCCCATTGTATGTTACCCCCTCACTCACTCTCATTTCCAGGGCTGTCAGGTTTCACAAAACTAGGCAAATAGATTCAAGTTGGTGTCTGAAACGCCCCAGGGCACCCAATGGCTCAGTGATGAAAGCTACGGCTCCGAGTCCCACAGCACCCTGCTGTACAGCCTTGTGTTACTTAATGCCCTGAGCCTATGTAATGTCACCCATGAAGTGGGCCAATCCATGCGTGTTGTTTGAAAATTTAAAGGAATTACCCATATAAGGCACATATATGTTGTTACCGTATTATATCCGGTACAATTAAAAGGGCAGTAAGAGACACAATCAAACCTTCGCCTCTACAGAAAATCAAAACCCTGCATCACCTCTACCACTAGCCACCGCCCATCCTTTCAGCCACCTCACACGATGCCCAGCATCTAGGAGCCCAGACCCAGCTGGAGCCCTCTGAGCCCACTGGCACTCTCTAAACATCCCTGGGCCTCCAGAAACCAGCCTTTTTCAATCAAGTTGCAACCATCTCTTGGAGGAGACAGGACCGAAATCTGCCAATGAGAAGAGAAACCGAGGCAACAGTGACTCACCCCCAAGTCCTGGCAGGATTCACCCTCAGACTTTGGGCTCGACCTCAGGAAAAAGAAGCCCCGTCAGCCCTCTCCAGGCCCCATAGAGCCCACAAGGTGGGAGTGGGTTGCCTTGGGAGGCCCAGCTTCCAGTTGAGCCCAAAGTCAGGGCAGCCCCACTAAGAGAAGGACTCTCCATCCATCGGCTGTAAGCAGGCAGCACCCGGAGTCCCTTCTGCCTGGGCTTCCACCCAGCTCGGAATAGCTCAGCCTCAGTGGGCAGCAGGAGGAAACAGCCAAGTGGGGCTGTTGGGGCAGAAAGTTTCTCTGTCTCCACAGCTCTCCTGGCCCTGAGGACTTCGACTTGCATGAGTCAGGC